CCCCACAAGTGGACAGTAATCTCCTTATTACAGCATTATTTTCATGATTTTTTATCTAATGTATGTGAAAAACTTCCCTCCACAGTAATAATATGTACCCATGGCTTCCTTATTGTTGCACTGGGAATAAAATTAAAATGAATATTGTTTCTATAAAGATATATTTAAGGAAATACAAATGAATAGGGCATTTTGAAATTTGGAAATTCAGGAACGTGTGGTTAGGAACAGGTCAGTAGAGAAAACCTCTTTGTAAAGTAGATTTCAGATGCTGGCAATTCATAAATACATATCAAGCCAAAACCATTATAATTTTGGATCCCAGATGGAAGTTGTTTATGAACAACTAGAGAACATCCAGCTATTTATAGAACAGAAAATCACTAACACTTGAAAAACAAAAAAGCAATTACTGTATCTCCAACCGTGTAATGACCATGTTAGACAGAAGAATCACAAATTTAGCTTCATCATTCTTGAATCAAAAGCTGGATTGTAGAGATTATGGCTGCGTTTGGAAAATTAGAGAAAAATAACACTTTCAGAATTATAACACAAAAAGACAATTAAAGCTGGTACCATTATTCTCCAGAACAATAAAGTTCCATTTTGGAAAAGATATAAAAGTCATCAGAGGAATATGAAAATAAAATTAATTCGATGACAAAACATTCTTCTCTGTTTCTATCTCTCCTCCCTGAATGGTAGATGTCTTTTATAACCTCCTTTTATTTTTAATTTTCATTTTTCTTCAGAGTCACAATTTCCATCACTTTTTAGTATTCATTCATTTTTTCTTCATACATTCTTTGTAGTTATCAGGTGATCTTCCATTATACTTTCCCCCTCCATTCCTCCCTTCCTGCCTTTTTTTTTTTACTTTTCTATTTTTTTTCTGTGTGTCTCTGGAAGTACCACCATTGGAAGTGTTGAGGAGGAAGACATTTTCTTCTGCTTTTCTAGGTTCTTCTGGCTGTTCTAAGAATTAAACTGACATGAGACAGATTAACAGAAGAAAATCAAAGAAAAGTTTAATAACATGTATGTATGGGAGAGACCCAGGAGAACTGGGTAACTTGCCAAAATAGCAGAAAACCTCAGGTTTAATACCATCTTCAGCTAAAGATAGAAGAGGAGAGTAGGGGTAGTAGTTTGGGACTTCGGAGGGGAGAAAATCAATTCACATGCAGATGAAAAACCAAATATTTGGTAAACATGTTTCTTGAGACATGCAGAGACAATGGGGCACAGAATGGACTCTGATCTCCAGACCCTGCTGAGTTTTCCCTGCCACACCTCCCCCACATTCTTTGCATAGATCTTTGGTAATAGCTTTATTTCTGCAACAGGCCCTTTATCTAAATTCTTTTAGGCAGTTAAAGAGGCAACAAGAAAAACTTCCTGAATCTTTTGTTTCTTAAAAATAATCAGCCTAGATTAATTCTCATGCCAAAGAGACACACTTTGGGGTGACAAATTTTGTTTTCCAATTTTTTGGATACAATTTTTCATTCAAAAGAAAGAAGAACTTTGTAAATCTGAGCATTATCTAAAATGGACACAAACAACTTTTCTGGTAATGACCGCCTCACCTTAAGAGATATGTAAGAAGACGTAGAGCTGCTTATCTGAAAAACTGTACAGCAATCTTACATTAAATAGAAGATTGAATTAAATGACCTCTAAATTCCATTTTGTAGCTTGAAATAAATGTACAGCCTGAAAGTTGAGAGGTATGTTTTATTTGGCAGACATCACTGAGGACTCGAACCACTCAGAGCCCGGGATGACAGCCTCTCAGATGGCTCTGAGGGACTGCTCCAAAGGGGTAGGGGAGGAGCTACAATGTATAGGAGCTTTACAACAAAGACCACGTAGTTGGAACATTAAAAGATTACTTGTTAACTAAAGAAAACCAAGCATCTCAAGTAAAGAATTTAGCACTTTTCTGTGTATGGGAGGAAGCAAACATTTGGGCTCATTGAATTCATTCCTTTGACAAGCACCTAGCCATCTGGGGCCAGTATCTTGCCCTCAGGGTGCAGCATTGTGAGTGGCTGCAGAGGCCGGACTGCAGGCTTGTCTTCACTAGGGGGTGGGGCAGCCGCTGATGACTTGATGGCTTCAGCATTCCTTGTTTACTGATACGGCTTGCAATATTTTTTGTTCACATTTTCAGCACTTAGATGATATATTTCTACAATTCTTTCCTTGGCCAAAGCAGGTCAAAGCACCTCCCAGGATGCTGTCCCACTCAGCAGTGTTCACAGAGGTAAATGTTTATTCATGACCGTCTTTTCCTTGCTTAGAAAAGCGGGAAAATCGTCGCCCAAGACGCCTGAACAAGCACGTGATCACGCTCAGGTTAATTCCATTTTCTTTCTGTTCTGCGTTTCCATTTGATCATCCTCTTCGTTCTTTCTCTTGCTTTATTCCCTTTCTTGCCATGGGCCCATCTCCTCTGCCTCCCCCTCTTCTCACTCTGTTCTCTTTTTTATCTTTTTTCCCTTTACTCTTTGTCCCATCCTTTTCCTTTTCGCATTCCTGTTCTTGCCGATTGTTGCCCAGAGAAGGCTGGGTTTAGGCCTTGCCATTCAGTCCCAAGGCTCAGAAGCAGTTCGTCACTAGAGAAGGAAAGGAGATACCCCCTGGCCTCTTTCAGAAATGAAAATGACTTCTCAAGCCTCCCACGCCCCCTCCTACCATCCCCTTCCCCCGTTAAATATTGATGGCACCACACTAGCCGTCTGCTAAGGTGACTCTGGTTGGCACTCTGCAGAGGCCAGGGGAGCGGTAGGTGCAGTCGCAGGTAAGAGACATCAGACATCTTTTCCGTCTATCTGTTACTTGCTCCTCTATCCCTGCGCGTCAGGCTTGCCAAGGACCGAAAACCCCACGCGCGTGTCCGTAGGTCTGCTGCCCAGGGAGAAGTTCCGCTTCCCGCGTGAGCTGTGAATTTGTCTGATGCTGATCAGCACATGCACGGGCTGCAATGGCAGCGGGAGGAAAGGTCGAGACCGACTCGCCAGATGGGGCGGCCAGGAATCTAGGTACTGATGTCTCGATGCTTCTGAGTTGGACAAAGAAAACACATTTGGTGTGGGGTCCCCTGCTTCCAAACGTTACTTATTTATACCACATCCTGATGAACTAAAGCTGTGGCTGCCTCACTCTCTGGGTTGATGATGCCCAGAATCAGGGCAGTGTGCTTTCTGAATTTCAGTGCGGCTCCATCAGGTCCTGGAGAATTATGAAACAGCTGAGTGCTTCAGTGTCTACCACTTAATTATGTGCCACATGTAATTTCAGAGCAGTCCTATTTATAGCAGAACTTTATTTTTAAAAAGCTTATATTTCAGAGTAGGAGGCGATGCAAATCATTTTAGGCCCCGTAATGAGGCTTAAAATGTGACTCAACGGAGCTGTAAAATTGGCCGGCTCTTCAAATGGGTCACATTCAGATCAAGATGGCAAAGAGGACATTCATGGCATAAACACAAGCTCAGGATTTGAAAATTGGAGATTTCTCTTGGTCTGCGGATGTGTGAGTGTGTGCATGTGTGCTGTGGAAGGTGTGGGGGTGTGGGAGGGGTGTGTTTTGTGGACAGGTGGTTATTTATTAGTGGTAAAGATAGATAAGTCACAAGAAATTCAGGGCATATAAATGTCAAACAAGGTCAGATTGGGTCAAATGCGTATTCAGAATGCAGACCCAAGTGGGAAAGACGTAAATGAGAGCAGGGCAGGCGTAGCAAAAATCAGCGAGCTGAAGTGCAGGGGGCGGGGCTCGGCTGGGTGTCAATCATGAAACAGCAAGCGGGTGGGGGAGGGGAGAGCCCGGCTCTCCGTGCTGCAAAGGCCAAAGTGGGGGGGGGGAGGTGGGAGAGGTGGCAGCTGAGTTATTAGAAGGTTTTGGTTTCTTGGAAGCGCAATGACTTAGCTTTCCGGCTTTGGCGTGATGTGCAGTGGGCCCGAAATGTCCCTGTTTTCTTTTTTTTTCCCGTCACTAAGCGAAGACAAGAATGAAAGAGGCTTGTCAATACTTTGGGGGACCTAGGAGTGTACAACATGGTCTCAAAATGCCTGCTGACTGATGACGTGCGGTCCTCTCTCCCTTCCCCTTCTCCGTGCCCGCCGGCCCCACCCCCTGCCCCACCCCCTGCCCTCGGACCCTGATCCCAGTCTCTAAACAACTCAGCCGGAAACGCAGAGGCCGCGCGGGCCTCAGCGTTGACCGCACACGCCCGGGCCTGGCTGACTCGGGGCCCAGGCCTGTGTCGGTGAGCAAAGGTCGCCAGGGAAAGCAGTCCCAGCGGCACGGTCATGCGTGGGAGCAAAGCGCCTCGCTTTCCGGGCCTGGCTGTTGCGCGGAGGAAGTGCAGCGGCTACGCTTCCCGCCTTTCGGCGCTGCTCTCGCACTGACGTCCTGCTGCCTTCTGCTCGCGGCCTCGGCCCTCCCGCCTGCCTCCGGGCTCGCGCCCGGCTTCCGACCCAGGCTGCGGGGCAGCCC